GTACTGTGCTAGTATCCTCAGTACTATACTGAGTATAGTATTGTGGCTGTGTTGTTATTGTAGCAGCTGACACATCAAATTGGTCAACAGCACACATTCATCTATCCATCCGCTGCATGCTACTGTTGTTTGTCTCTCTTCCAAACTTCACTCCAAAAACCTATCTAGATTCATCAAATAAATCTGTATTCAATTTCCACCATCTAAAAACACAACAATAACACCAGAGACCAGCACCAAGGGTCATGTTAACTGGTGTGAACCCAAGCAGGAACAACTAGCCTTCTCTTGGGTTACCACAAGCACTCAACCAGAGCATTGAAATGACATGAAAGGTAATACTTTTCCAATGCTATTGCAGTGAACTTCAATAGTCACTCATTATCAAAACAATCAGCCAAGTGGTGCACTGGACTAGGCATATTCAATTCAAAGTATCTAGAAACCAAATTCTGACAAACTTCCTTTCTCTCAGGTACCAGGTAATGAATGCACAAACCTTGAAGTTCTCTGGTATCTATGCACATCTTGTGCACATCCAACCATCTGGTTCATTTCCCAATATTTGGATTGTTAACACAATGAAGGTCTACCAAGCAGAGACAAAACACCTTGTCAAATTCCTTGGGCTTGGCAAAAGCTTCAATACAAGCCAAAATGAGGTCCTCACCTCATTGATCATTATGATCATACACCACCAGCAGCAGCAGCAGATCTTCTTCCAACCTCAACTTGTAGCAACACTGCCACAATCACTTTACTGTTATGAGCTTCACAGGTATCAGAGATCAGAGATAAGGTGATCTGATAATATAACTAAGATTGAAGCATGGGGTGTACAATCATGGGCAGTGTGCATCTAACTAGCAAGGCTCTAATCAGTATAAACATAACCTGTTATAAGGATCACAACACTACTCCCCCTTTACGTCCCACTCCCTCTTGTTGAGCTGACGTCCCTCCACCGGTTAGCATTAAAAAACCCCTGTGGGGAAAAAGCATCACCGTCACTTAAACCTCCTTGTCCTTTTATACTTTAATTCAGCTAATGGATATTTGATATTAAATTCATTCACTAATTCTTTTGCGTTTTGAAGTCCACTTTCTGGTTCCCACAAATCTTCCTCCGCTCCATACCCTTTCCAGTTGACTAGATATTCTACTTTTGATCCTTTTCTTCTCTTATCTAGTATTTCATTGACCTCAAATTCTTCTTCCTCGTCGACAATGATAGCCGCTGGCCGAGGTTGCACTTGCCCATCTATTTTGCTTGGTTCGTACCGTCATAAGAGGCCTACAGAAAAGAAAGGATGTATCCGTTTCATGGACTCAGCCAAAGACAATTTATAAGCATTTGTCAACACTTGTTCAGAGATGACAAAAGGTCCCAACCACTTGTGTGCAAAATTCGCACTCGGTCTTGTTGTAGAGATGTGCCTTGAATCCAACCAGACCTTTGAGCCTACTTCCCAATTTGGTGTTTTGTGACTGTGTTTGTCGTGGTGTTGTTTCATTGATTCCTGAGCTAGCTTCAATGATTCTCGTAATTCATCTTGGACTTCTTTAAGTTGACTCATCATCTCTTCGACCGCTGGAATGCACTGTTCGCGTGTTGGTATTCTTGAATAGGATACGTCATAGCCATAATTTGCTTTGAATGGTGAAATTCCCAAAGCCGTATGCGGACTGTTGTTATACGCGAACTCTGCAAAGTCTAACAACCCTACCCAATTATCTTGTTTGTAACCCACGAAATGGCGCAGGTACTGTTCTACAGCTTTATTAGCTATTTCGGATTGGCCATCGGTCTGCGGGTGGTATGCCGTTGAGGAATGCGTTGTAATGCCCAGTTGTTGGTTGAGTTCTTTCGTTAGTTTGGAGATGAAAATGTTTCCTCTGTCGGATGTGATTGATTTGGGTGTCCCATGGTATTTCCAGACGTTCTTGATCATTGCTTTTGCAAGTTCTTCAGATGACATGGTAGTGTTGCACGCTACAAAATGGCACATTTTTGTCGGTCAATCAATTACTGTTAGTATACAGTCCTTTCCCTCCGACATTGGTAAGTCTGTTATCAAGTCATAACAAACGTCCGTCCAAGGTCCAGCTGGTACTGGTAACGGCTGTAGGGAACCAAAAGGGGCTGTGGACCTTGCCTTCACCCTTTGGCACGAGTGGCATCTGTCCACGTACGCATTTACAAACGCCTTCATTGACAGCCAGTGATAACATGGTTTTAAAAGATTCAACGTCTTTGCTCGACCTGGATGGCCTGCCAATAGACTGTTGTGTCTGTCAGAAGTATAATGCATTC